GTGGTGAGACATCCGTGAAAGTAGTGTTGTGGACAGAAAAGTCGCAAATTTTGTAATTCGTGGTCGGCATGATGGAGTACCAGCTTGTCTGTAAGAAACTGTTGAAGCTGTGTAACGTTGCGGGATGTAAAGCGTGGGGTGTATAGAATGTTGTCGATGTGCTGTTTCCATTGTTGGTGTAGAAAAGGTAGGCTGTGTTGATGGAGGGCGGTGGGTAGACCATGGTGTCGTAGCCAGTGAGTGAGTTGTTGTTCAAAATGTTGGAAATATTGTGTCTTTGTGGGAAAGAATGTGCTGTTCATGTTGGCCTGTAGGAATAGTTCAAGATGGCTGGGTAGCTGTAGGTCGTCAAGTGTAAGCACGTAGTGGCCATCATAGAGCTGCGGTGTGTGGTTGGGGCGAAGCAGGGTGTGCATGTGGCGGCAGCTGCATGGCATGTCAGTTGCTGAGGGGTGTGCGGAGAAGAGTTCCTCCCAACGTTTGTGGTTGTAGAGCCGTGAACGTAAAGTCTTGTGTGCTGCTTCACGTAATTTGGTGGTAGGTGGGTGGAAGGGAATGACGTGATGCATGTGGTGTTGGATCAGTGTACGAAGCCATTTTTCCGTGGAGGACGAGAAGGTACTGTGGGAGAGGAAAGGAACGGTGAAGGGTTTGTTGGCTTTTGGTGGAGTGAGATTGCGAAAGCTGAGCGCTGAGTGGAGAAGGTGAAGGACACGGGATCGATCTGGTTCCTCTAAGCTGGCGGCCATTCGACGGAAGGCATAAATTTCGAGATCAGTGTATTTGCCGCTGCGGATGGCTGTTGATGTTTCAAAAGATGAACGTGTATGTTTGCTGAGCTCTCGTAAAACTGTCAGGGCGTGTAGGCGTTGACTTGTGTGAAGGTGGGGCTGCTTAATGGTGTGTTGTCGTCGTCGTAGCCGTTGGAAGAGACGTTTGTGAGTGGACATGCGTGTGAAAGTGGTGCGGTGTTTTGAGAATTGCCAACCTGAGGCTTTGAGTTTGAGGTGTCGTTGAATGTATGGCCAATTGAGTGTAGGTTGCCATTCCTGGATCCGCAAGTGTTCGTAGGTCCATGCTTGATCATAGGTGTCGTGATGGGAAAGGTAGATGGTGCTGTAGTGGTGGAGGTTGTTCTTGGAGTGCCAGTAGCGTAGGGAAAGTTCAGCTGAAATTGGATGGTTGTTGTGTAATTGTTTGAGTTTTGCATGGCGATTGTATTCTCGCTTTGGAATAGTGATACTGGTAGAGCCGATGTACGTGTGTCCATGTTGGTGGTACTGGTGTCTTGTGTGATGTTGGTTGAAAAAGAGCTTTGCATAGACCGCATTAGGATGTGTGAACAATTGGTAGTGGTAGGTGTGTGGTGTAACTTGTAGTTGGTTGAAACGGGAGCGCCAATGTATAGAGTGATGTGTTTGAGAGGGAAAGGCAAAGAGGCATGTAAGGTGAATAAGACTGACAGAAAATATAGCGTGTGACTTGTCAATGTAGGGGGTGAAATGGACAAAGTGTGATAGCGCTGTGTGCAATGTAGTTAAAGATCGTAGGGTAAGATGTGTTGGTTGATGCAGCGCTTGTTGTGCGAGTCAGGCTGCCAATGCCGAGCCCGCGGCCACCAATTGCTGTAGTGAACGTGGGGGTAGCTTGAGGACCCGAGCAAGCGGGATGCCGTAGCGGGTAGCTGCTTCTTGGAGCTGTTCTTTTGTGATACGTTCATCTCGAAGAATTTGCTGGATGTTGTTGACTTGTGTCTGAGTGGCTGGTGGTAATGTCTTGAGCCATTTTTGAATGCCCGCTGCCGCGTAGTTGGCTGGTGAGTTGTCATGGAGTGTTTGTGTGGTGGGGTTGAGAATGGTGTTGGTTGAAATTGCGGAAGGGGCTGTAAGTGGGAGATGTGGTGGGTGTGTGGTGGATGATGGGGCAGGGTGTGGCCCCGGCTTGGTTGGTGTGAGTGCAATGCCATGATTCTTCAACTTGTCGCGAGCGCGCTGGAGTTCGCTCTCTTGTTGTTGCAAGCGATCCGTCTGTAGCTGGAGCTTTCGGAGTGCTGTGCCTTCGCCGGCTGGTGGTGTAAGGCCTCGTAGGAAGTCAATGATGCGAGAAATAAGTGGTTGCATGAATTGCTTGGCCTCTGTTGTTTTGTTTGGAATGGACTGATCAGCTTGTTGGTGCAAGTATTCAGCGATGTTGTCGATGTCCAGGTTGTGGGCCCGCATCTCAAGCAGCAATTGTGAAGTGAATACAGCTTCCGCGATGGATCTGGTGGTGACTATGCCTGTGTAGCGTCCTTGGGATAGGATGCGGAGGACGGCTGAGCTGCCACGGAAAAATGTCGAGGACTTGTTGTCCTGCGAGGTTGTATTTCCTGGACCATTGTGTCGGCTGGATCGTCCGGAATAATGTGTGACCATGTACGGTATTTGTATCCAAATGTGTGTCGCTGGGGGTCCATGTGTCAGGTAGGTTGGGAATGTTGGGGGGTACAACGCCAAGCTGTGGAGGCGTTGGGTGGTGAGATGCTGCGGGTGGGGGCAAGGGTTCGGGTGGAAACGTTGCGGGTGGTGCTGGAGAGGCTGTGGGTGGATCGGCAGGGATGTTTGCGTGATGTTGATGATGTTGGTGATAAGGGTGTTGGTAGTGATGACGCACTGCGTTGGTGAGAGGTCCATAGCCGGCAGTAGGTGTCGTGGTGCCATAGTATTGTTGCCACCA